CCCACAAGCACTTAAGTTCGTCTTTGCCGTTTGATTTTAGATAATTGCGTAGTTTAATTCGCATAGATTCGGCATAGTGCTTGAGAGACCTAATGTTCAAGCCTCCCAATTTGAAGGGGAGCGACATGCATTCAGACACACAGCTGCTGATAGGTAGTGACAGCCATGATCTCACCGATTCAACAATGAGAGGGTCGAGGCAGTTGCCTATCCAGGTCAAGGAAATGTCGTATGTCCGCAACTCAAATGCCAATTGCGACGGTATATATCTACGTAGAATTTGTAGTTTCCAATTTGCCGTCGTGTCCAGTTTGTTAATCACTAATAGCAAATTTTTTAGCTTACCATTCAGCTGTTCTTTGGCCCTACTGTTGTTGCCTTCAAAATCATAGGTTTTGCCCAGATAGACAAAGTGTCCGCCTATGTCGACATGAGGAATTGGTTTTTCGTCGATAATCAGCATCGGGAGAAATTGTTCATAAGTACCGTTTTTTTTCCTCATACCGAATGTTGAACATTTATCAATTCTTAATTTCACGCCGGTTGCGATACACCATGCCCGGTTTATGTCAATAAGCTTTTGTGCACTTTCGGTGTTGTTGGCGATGATTGCTGTGTCGTCTGCAAATTGTAACCATGCTCTTGTTCTAAGGCTTGTTGTGGGACCCCATATGTAACCGCACTGCTGAAATTCGGTTTCTTCGAGTTTATAATAATAATAATAATAATGAAAGCAGACACTGTCCAGTTCATGTATCCAAATTTTTTTTAAACAAATTAATTTCATGAAACGTAAAAACGGATATGAAAAAGAATTCCAAAAAATATAAGAAAATTCTAAATAAATGGAACCCTTAAAGTTCTAAAAGTGTGATATAAATTCAATACTCTCACTTTAAACACACACACAAAAGAACTTAAAATAATAGTAAAAGAAAATAAACATAATTAAAAAAACCTGTAAGCTACTAAACACGCAAAAAGAATTTTTAGATATTTTCATAAATCCAATCCAGACTTCAAATTAAACTTATAATAATAAAACGCATTAAACTTTCTACCCACATATTTGTAATAAGGAAAACTAAGTTTCAATCATATTTATAATCCACATTCATACAACAATTATCTAATTCGTTCTTAAATTTATTCATACCACATGCAATCTCTCAACAAACAATTCCAGATGGGAATGATTCTACATGTTAAAAAAACATTTTATAACGTTACTTCTAAAGCTAGGCAATTTCAACTTTGAGTTGTGTCCTGAGTTTTACTTCTAGAACAATCAAAATATTTCGCAACGGGTTACATTTCATTGTCTTTTTCAATTTTAAGTTGCTTGTTTAAAATTATCGAATCTACTCTAGCTCACAAAATTTTAACGTTGGAAGGTTTAAATACTTAAGTGTATTAATATAATTCCACACTTTTGCATACTCCGGCACAGAAGAGTCTCATATAACAATAAAAAAAGGACTCTTTTTTTAAATGATGAATTTGCGTGCAATTAGGCGCAACCTAGAATAAAAATTTAATAAGCTACACGAATTATATGCAAATCCGATCAAATATAGCTAAAAAATTTCCAAATTCTTAAATTCGTTCACAGACTTTTTACTTAGTTAATCAAAACTGAAAACGGAATGATAATTTCTAATAATTGTACGTATGATAGCAACTGATCAAAGCCAAAAATGCAGTTATATTTCTTAATTGGAGCTTTTAATTTAATTAAAAAATTGCTTTAAAAAATGCCTTGTCGAACGTAAGGTTATTTTACTGACGAGTATAAAATCTCTTTTTCGTAAGTTTTTTGTTTAGGAAGAGGTAGACGTATAATTTTCAGCCTGCCACTCTGACTTCCAGCCTCAGACTCAGAAAAAATTGCCAACTTTTGCTTTATAATTTTACTTGAACACCACTACGAAAAAGAAGCATTTGAAATTATTCTAAGTTTATGTTTTAGAATCCACTAAAAGATGTTAATTAAATATTTTTCTGCATTGTTGTTCGTGAATGTGCAAAAATAGCTTTGTTTTATGCTGCGTTGAAAGGATGCAAATTTAATAGCAAACAAATTTTATAAGAGCACTAAAATGAAAACCATTTGTTCATTTTTTTATTGGTAAAAGTGATTGAATGAAATATAAATTAATTATGATTTTATTTAAATCTCCAGATATTATCATAATTATTGAAAAAAGCAGAACATTAAATATCATAGTGAAATTGGAATAACTCTTTTAAAAATTTGAACAACCCGCGTTTCCATGAAGTACGTACCAGAATTGTCATGACCAAACTCTCTTGTCTGATCGATGCATAACAAATACTTTTTTTTATAGATTTGGCAAATAATATTTTATCAACCACCTTTCAGATTTGTCGTAATTTAGATCTGAACATGAAAACGACTCTAAAGCGCTATATAAATGGCCAAGATTTAAGTATTGTATTTTGAACCGTTTTGTTTGCAAAGATGTTTTCCTAGAGACTCCTGAACTCTCCTGATTCTATTATATTGGCAATTAGAGTTTTACCAATGAGGACGGATTATTTTTAAATAGAACGATGTTTGTTAGTGGTCACGAATGAAATAGCTAGCAAAAAAAAACAGCCGATACATTTCAAGCAACCTAACCGTTTGAAAGCAGCTTATATTCCGACTATTCACTTTATGCCGCTAGCAAGCGGTTTAAGAACAAATGCTAAGTTTTTACTGACACGTTAATCGTAAAAGCAAGTGCCGATTTAATCACTTTATTTGTAAAATTTTTCAAGTCAGTCGTTTTTTCAAAAATAAATGAATGCAAAATGTAAAATTGACTGAAGCATTCCAGAATAAAACTCAACACTTGATCACAGGCACACGAAGCAGATATTAAAACGTTTTGGCCCTTCCGCCAGCTATTTGAGTTTCAAATAGGATCAGCTGTTTTGCATTTTAGGAGTTATTAAAAAAGGTTTGAACAAACCTAAAATGCAGGTTAGTGTTAGGCACATACTCAGTGATTCACGCGTGCTCACACACGCTGCGTGTGTGTGGTCGAGATAAAATATCAGTTGCAATAACCATTGCCATTACTTATAGAATACAAATTGAACCGTTTGCACATTTTCAATGAAGATTTCTTAATATTGCATTAATAAAGCATCGGGCACACCTAATATTAAAATCACGAATTTTTTTGACATCAAAAAATTATTTTTTTAAAAGTTTAAAATCAGTGGAAAAGAAAAATTTATGCTTAAATTCAAAATCAAGGCTAACAATTATTATTGCCAAAATGTACGAACCAAGTAAAAGATTTGTAATGCTTAACAAGATGAAGCGAGCATGAAGTGATAAGCAGGTACAGCCATTTTATATATGTTTGAACATTAGCAAAACATTGAATAAAATAAGCAAAAAAAACAAACATCTTTGAAGTAAAGACTTGAGCCAGTCTGGCATATTTGACAGTTTAAAGAGCCCTGACAACCAGCACAATTGCCAAAACTTTGGCCTTTTTGACCATCATTCACCAGCTGACAAAATCCTTCAATCATTTGCCGATCGATCAACATATACGTGTACAAGTGAGCACATACCTGCAATTGCAAGTTAATATGAGCACTACAATTGTATTATTTTTCTAAATTTCAAAACATCGCTTTCAAAAATAAGTAACATCTGTCATAAAAGAAAATTTGTCACCATTGTCAAAAATTAAACTTTATCATTATGTTCAACAAACATCTTGAATTGTCATGAGTATAATTATGTCATTTAAAAATGTTAAAAAAATTAAGAAATCAATTGTGAAAATATTTAATTTATTTCTCTTTAGAATAATAATTTCAAAGAAACTCAGCCTAAATTACGTTTTAATTCATTGAAACAAAGTTTGACGATCATTATTTGTAGCATTCTTAAATTGCTGATTTGATTATTTATTTACATTGAGTTACTGATGGAAATAATAGTCAGGTTTCAACGACTTAAAAAATGCAGATAACAGAAAAATAATAAAAAAATTAACTCACTATAAGTGCATTTTTAGTTGCATAATCAGTAGACATGCTAACGCCAAACCAGATGGTGTTATTGCCCATTAATTCACGAACTTGGGCGATATTTTTAACCTCTAAAAGTATCATGAAATTTGTTTATCAAACATGAATTCAAAAACGAAAAGTGATTAGGACTAACGCAATTCATAATTTCTCTTCGTGCACGATTTCTCCGTAAACTTGCAATTAAAATAAGATTGCTTTGTAACGTCATTCGTCTGAAACTTAGGAGCGCCAACCATAACGCTGCAAAAAATGTCTTTTTAACAATAAAAATGTATCAGATATGAAAAACAGTTACCAATAAAATTACAGAATTTTGTTATGTTAATTTTTTTTTCGTTTCGATATCAGTTAAACCCCGATAGGTTTGATACAAACTATATACTACATCCTGCTTCCAAAACATTTAAGAAATTTTCTAAAATTAACTCTAAAGTTTTCAAAAGGATATGAAGTGATATTTGAAAATAATAGTAGTAGTAGTAGTAAAAATAATAATAATAGTAGTAGTGGCGGTGTTGGTGGATGTTGCAGTAGTAGTAGTAGTAGTATTAGCTGTGTTATAATTATTAGTATTATACAACCCTGAGTGCCAAGTGTATAATTTTACGGCTGCTATTTAATTGCTCTTAATTTGCCTTAACTAACGGAAATCCGTATTATGTTTTAAAAAAGTTATTTTCTTTAGATTATTTTTTTATATAAAAGCAAACTTTATAAAAAAAAAGTTGAAAGGTCTGCCTAGAAAGGAAAAGTGGCTTTACTCAGTGGACCGGGGTGAGAGTGTTGATTTTAATAAAAAAAAAGGTCAAAATTAAATATATATTAAACTGTTATTGTCAAAAACTCTATAGAGCGCTAATCAGAGCGCTACTGGAATGTAGTGGGTTATTCCATAAATAATAAACTTAAATAATTAACAAAGAATAAACTTAATTATATACAAAACATTTTGAGTGCCAATCCTGGTTGAAGCTGGTAAGCTGTTTCGAAGTCACAATTCATTATTAACTATAAATTAAGAAAAATTCGCGGAAGATATATACAATAAAAAATAACAAAATGACTTGGGTTTATTTGGAAACAAAACTAATGGCAAGGGTTCAAATGTCTCATTTGGAGGCGATTCGACTTTTTTTTTTAGGAAACTAATGAAGAAAATAATATTTCCACAAAAAGTTAGATCATCAAGTTGTGTATAATCGACAAATATTTTATTAGGCGGCGTGGTCAAACAGACATAACCTTTGTATAATGAACCGTGCCAAGTTTGCGACAAAATAAGTTCGTACCTTATCAGTTAACAAATTTTAACTTGTTAAATTTTGAGGCAATAGATTTGATGCTGAAAAATCTTATTTTAATGATGAACCACAATTGTTTAGGAAACTTGGCGATTTCTCGTCGATCCCTAGGCACCCGATACTGAGCAAAAAATTATCTTCATTTTCAACCTTGTTGGATCTTTTTTTGTCTAACAAATTCCAGTTTATTTCTCGGTATAAAGTGTGTGTATGCGCGCGTCCGTCTGTATGTTTGTGATAGTGTGAGTTTGTGTGTGTTGAGAATACTAAATACATCTAGCATGATAAAAATCTACCTAATCTATTTATAGTCTATCCTTATGCTAAAGTGGAAACTTAAATTTTTTCAAGTTAAAAATTTTTTTAATGTGTAAAAAATAAACCGCAAATTTATACCTCAACGTATCTTGGTAATTATAAAAGTCAAAAGAAAATCCGAAGTATGAGCCAGGTACACCTTTCCACGTTTTAGGATCAATCGTATCAACGTTGAAACAAATTCCGAAATTGGATAAGTATATCGACACGAAACAAATGAAAGATAGGAGACACTGTTCACTGATCCTATTCTTATCCATTTTCTGGAAAATAATAGAATTAATTAAAGAATTAAATTACAAAAAACTTAATATTATAAATAACAACAGAGCGAAAACTTTTTGTGAATAAAATGTGTTTTTAATAAAAACCGGTAGTAAAAATAAATTTGCTGGTACCTTTATTTTACTTTATGGAAGATGGTTTCTTTAAACTTATCAGTATTAACTTGAAAGAACTATTTACAATAAATTTTTATACAACAATATCTAACTTTGGAACTAAATCGAACAACTTGTTAATATAAATATAAGATTTTATATCCTAACTACAAACTAACAACCACAGGCACGTTCGCAGCCAACATCGCATCTCAAACGAACACGGGATGCGAACAAATGACTAAGAGTGTGTGTGTTTAAATAAGAGGCTGAGCTTCATGCAGTTCATATAAGGATATATCTATACTATATGTATTATATTTTATTTATTAAATATGACATGAATAAACTTTATAAGTATGTGTGCATACATATTAACGGGTTAATACTTCCCTAAGTACGTACCTATATAAATATATATTTTAATATATATATATATATATATATATATATATATATCAACATTCAACAATATAAATATATATATGTATATATATATATATTAATATATATATATATATATATATATATGTTAATGATGAAAATCACAGCATGTTCGACGTTAGTTAACTAGTTAACTTCCAATTTAACTTTTCGATTTTTCTAACGGTTGATCGTAAATCATTTCCAAGTATTTTTAGTTCAAAACCAAAATTGTTTATCTTATGCATGATAGAACAGAAAAGCTTTTTTCGGTACTCTTATACCATCTTCGAAATACCGAAAAATGGATTGAAAAATGAAAAAAGACCGAATACCGAAAAAAACTTTTCGGTTCGATCATGCATAAAATAAAAAAAATTTTGGTTTTGGTTATGATTTTGGTTTGGTTTCGTTCAAACCTCATTTCGTTATTGACTAAAAAAACTTGAAAATGATTCACGATCAACCGTTAGAAAAATCGAAAAGTTATATTGGATAATAACTAACGCCGAACATGCTGTGATTTTTATCAATAATTGCATTTCTGACAGTCTCAATCCAATATATATATATATATATATATATATATATATATATATATAAATAAATAAATAAATATATATATATATATATATCTTAATTCAATATATATATATATATCCTAATTCAATATATATATAAATATATATATATATATATATATATATATATATATATATATTACGATCCCTTGAGGGAACGTTGCAGCCGATGGTGTTGACTCTTAACATCGATTTCTTATCAATTTCCAATATCCTTTTCTATCGTAGTCTAATTATTTAAATTCAACGTTCAAACCTCATTTTGTTCAAAAACGTCATTCGCCTAATTATAATTTCAGTTTTTTAACCTTATTAATGCATGTTAGAATCATCAATCTGTCATTTTTCTTTTATAAATATATCCGACGAGACTTAATTTTTTTACTTCAACTTATTCCGATAGACTTTTCTAAATTGGTTTCTTTTCATTCATTTCCCATTTTCAGTATTCAACTGATTCCAAACAACTTTCTATGTATAGTATTGGACAATTTTTAAGAGATTTTTTTTAAAATAAACATTAACATGGATAATATATATCATGTATCAAATTAGTTTTAGTATAAATGAAGAGAGGGCATATCAATAATGTCTAATGAAATGTCCTTACATACTCCACGTTACTTGTAATATAATTTTTACTAAAAAAATTTTATAAATAAACAAATTTTGAATTAAAAATTTTTATAACGATAGAAAAAGTTTCAAAAAGTTTTTTCAACTTCTCCATTAAAATTTGAAACAAACATAATTTGTAAAATTGTGGCGAAATAATTAAATATATTTTTAACAAATTAAGCTTATAAAAATGTTTTTTATGTACGGTTTATTAAAATACCTAAATATATTTAATAATTTGGCAACACGCAATTTTCGACAGCACTTGTGTAAATATGTTTAACTAGTACATTCCACCCAGTTGGAAAAAATAATTCTCACTCATTGAGAAACATACTTATTTTAGTAGTAATATCAAGGTATCAATGCATAGTATCAATACAATAATTGAATTGACATGCATATAAACATTAACTTATTCTTAAGATCATCTCCATACACACAAACACCTAATTTGTTTTGTCAAAAATTTTTGACTTGAAGCATTTAAAATGTTAATGGAATTGGTACCCGATATGTTTTGTCAATTTTTATATTATCTAAACGAAAATTATTGTGCTGCTCATCATTTTTTAGCCGGTTTCATCAAATAGCCGAGCGCTATTTTTCGTTATATTGTTGTCATTCTGCATCAAAATATGTTAAACTTATTTCGTTTATGAAAAATCCGTTAACAAAATAACATTGAAAATAGTAAGAAATAGCTAATTAAAAACCATGTATTCAATTCTATTTTCAATATACTATTCTAGACACCATCTAAATTTTGGGATATTCGGTAAAATTTGTCAACTCATGCATACGTTCCAAAGCAAGAAGCTGTCTTAGATGTTTTCGATAATAACACCAGTTTTGTATACAATAGAAAATTTAGCATTTCAGTGTTCTATATCCGTTTGTGTAAATCCATGAAGTGAAAATTTACAATGTGACTCAAATTTATTCTTTGACTGACACAAATATGTTGTAACTACTGGAAGGTATACATTTGCTCAGCGGTATCATTTCAGCTATGAAATAGGGTGATCAAATTTATACGGTTAATGATGGGGCATGAAAACTGTATTATTAAAGTATGGTTTTACTACACGTTATATAATGTATACGTATACAAATATAAAAATTAATAATAAATTGTTTCAATGATAATACACAAATAATAATAAAGTTTATACGTTAATTAATATTAAAATAATATTCCGCCATTATAATGAACACACAATACAACAACTGCTTTCTACAGTTAGAACACCAATTATTTATGAATTAATCGACCAATTAACATTCATTCCATAATAAATACGACACTCTTATTTTTACAACCACCATTACTACATACCTCAGCCGAACATCCACTATAAACATTTTACAGAAATAAACATTATATTTCATATCTTTAAAAAATTCAGGTAATTTCAGTATTTTGTTTTCTACAAAATAAAAAATTTCATTAGAAATGTTACTTTTTATAACAAACTTAATCTAAATGGGCTAGCTCTAACGTAATATTAGAACAATGTAAATACATTGATTTGCAAAGCATATTTATTCCATAAACGTGACCAAATAGAAAAAAATTCCATAAACTCAGAAACTGTTCTAAAATTATAAATACAAAAACTTTAGAAATTGGCTTACAAGAAAATTTTTACCAAATACAGAAAAAGTTTTTAAGACAAATTTGCATATTTATCTTTAATAGAAAAGAAGAGTTTTTTATTTAAGAGACTGAGCTTCAAAAATTTATGTTTAAGGAAATTTATCATATTTACAATTTAATGATTTGGTAAAATGTCTTTTAAATAAACTCCCCCATTGAAATTTTTTTCTCTTACACAAACATAAATGTCATGTTTTTAAAATTTATTAAATTTTGGATGTAATATCAGCAGTCAAATATTTCAGAGCTAAAAATTTGATCCAACGTGGCAACAGTAACATGTGTTGGTAATTTTTTAGTATCAATAAATAAAAATCATAACACCTCTTGTGTATCCTTTTAATTTATTGCTATCAAATGGAGATATTCCTAAATAGTTTAAAATTAGAAAGTCATACCAATATTAGGGAGTGGGAGTGAAAGGGATTTTTAAAATTATAGACTGATTCTCTTTGTCCCTATCCTCTATTAGTGAAATTTAGTTAACCTTAACCTCTAGTTGTTAGTTTTGTCGTAACATTTTTTTCACTTAGCAAAAATGTATGACGTATTTTCAGAAGTTTATTTTTTAAAGCTTTTCAATGAAAAATTTTATTTAAAATTTGTATGAAATCGTTGATTGAAAAGAAGTAGTTAAATAACTTGCAACTTACAAAGATCCACTGGTAATTTAAAAAATTAAAATTTGTGATGTATGCCGATAACATAAAATTCAAAAATTATCAACGATTTTTTATTGACATTTTGAAATCAAACTTTAGTGACTAAGCTAATCGGTTATTGAAACTCATAAAATAATCAACGGCTCTATTTGAAATCTCAAAATTAAACACCTCTCAATTCATAAATGTAATGATGGTCAGTTTATTAATTCGCTGCTGTTCTAATCAGTTTCCTTCTTTTGCAGTTTAACGGCATTTGAGCACTGGGAGATTATCTCTTTACCTTTGAATTTGTTCATTTGGTTTGCTTTTAATGGGATCCACCACACCAAGCTTTTGTTTTAATCTGATACCAATTTTTTATGGTTTTCAGTGTTTTATTTATTTTATTCTGCATTTTGTTAATTTATTTATATTCAAAATGAATTGTTATATTATCTATTTGGAGGCAAATTATGGAGTTATAGAATCAACCAACCCATTTCAAAAATTAAAAGGTTTACGCAAATTGAACTGTTAGAAAAAAATGCCACTTGTGTGAACGGTACCCTCACTTATGGGCATACAATTTAATTAATGAGGCCAACAAATGATCGAATCCTCTAAATAATGTGTTGGTTCAATGACTAACATTTTAAATAGATGTAAAAGTTCAAGTAACAGTATGTTGGTAACTCGTTCTATATAGTGAATATAGAAATCTCCAGCCAGAAGTATGCAATCGCATCAAATGTGTTCAAGAGCAAGTAGCAACTAAAACAATGATAACATGATACCAGGTCTGTCTATTGTCAAGTGAATTAACAATAAATTTAAATGTATTTGCTTTAAAATAGTTTAAAGCTGGCAAATCAATTTTTATATAGCAAAAAGTTTGTTGAAAAATAATTAAAAGCACGGAAAAAAAATTCTGTCTCAAGCAAACTCGGCTAAAAATGGCCTTGCTGCATGATTGATCTAACATAACATATGACGTATCATGATTGATCTAACAGGTTGACGGGATGACAGTTATCCGATGTTGTCAATATAAAAATATCATCGTTACTTGATAAACAATATTCGATTTTGACGCAATGGATTAAACCTACATTAACAGTTATTCGAACTGCAATTTCACCAGCACGACCAACCACAATATTATTTACATTTGGTACATTTTGATTTTCACTTCAAATGTTTTGTTTCATTCAGATTTTAAGATTTTCTATCCCGTAGTGTTCGACTGGTTTGTAATAAAAAATCGACATTGTGAAGTTTTTTTTCTTTAATTGGATTTATCACTCAGTTTGTTTTTTTGTTTGTTCGTTCATTTGTTTGTTTGTTTGTTTATTCGTTTGTATGTTCGATCGATCGTCTTTCGGATCTTGTGTTATACAGTGACAAAAATTAATTTAATTATTTAAATCATCTTTTGACATTTAAACAAATATTTTATAAAAATATTTAATTTTTATTGTCATAAACAGCCACTGAAAAATACGCAGTGTGTTTTTCTTTCTTGTGAGTGTCAATCTTCTAATTTTAAGCGCGAGAAGGCCATTCAAAATTAATTTGTGCAAACATTATATATATATATTAATTAAACTCTCCCTAAATAAGGTTAATTCATTCATCTTTTTACCTTTTCAAATGTTTAAAAACTCATCCGAATGTTATATAATCTAATTTTTGAAATATTAAACAAATTATAGCATATGTTCATACCTATTTTTATGCATGTATCAAGTCGTTGATTTGCATGTATCATCGTGTTCGGGGAGGGTTTGCATGAGCATGCGATGGGTTCTCATGTTGTGAGGCATTTCAATCTTCTTCGTGTTAAATGAGAAGGTCTGAGGAACAGACGCGATAAGCTCATGATAGGTTTGTCGAAATGTCGAAGCGGACCTTTGCCGAAATTTTCGGGGTTTCTATAGCCTATGTTTGTGTGCTCATATTATGATTGTAATATAAGTACATCAAGAAAACAGATCAGTGATAAGTGTGGTGTGTGTCTGTGCGTTTGTTTGTGTTTGTGTGCGTGTGAGTATGTGTGTGTGTGTGTGTGTGTGTGTGTGTGTGTGTGTGTTAGAAATGTTTTAAAGTTTTAAAGTGTTAAAGTGAGAATTAAATATCCATTATTTATATATTCACACCTTAAATATTTCGTTAGCATTTTTTACATTTATAAACATGATTTACAGCATAATAAATTTGGATATCCAAATGAATTTGCTTCATTTGCCTCGTAGATATAATAGAACTCTACATACTGAAATACGTGTATGATGTTTTTAACCGCTATTAAGCAACTGATGCATACGTTGCAAAGAAGCATTGTAAGCTCCAATGTGTGCATTATATATTAGATATATTATATATACATATATATGTAATTGAAAAACGTTGGAATAAAGAAAAAAGTTGCTTCACGGAACATATTGTGCATATTACATTGGTCGTCGTATATACAATTTTATTTGCCTGTGTTTTAATATACAATTAATTGATCTCGTAATTCAAAAAGCGCATACACTTGTCAGAGTTAAAACCAAAAGAAACTTAAATTTTTTTTAAATAAACAATAGCGTGACCCTCTGCGATTTTTTTTATGTGAAAGAAAGTTCAAAGTACAATAAATGCTGGAGATGAACTTGTTTATTAAAGTTATTATTCTTCCTCTCTCTTTCTCTCTCTCTTTCTCTCTCTCTCTCTCTCTCTCTTTCAATTTCTCTCTTCCTATAATTTATAATATATCTATGATTTAACATGAATAAATTTTTATTGTATATATTATTTATTCGTTACGCTTTTCCTCTGCTATTTTACTATTTCGATAAATGTTCATACGCCATATACATTTTAGGTAATGCACCGGATATATTCCTAATTATATATAAACAATTAAATATATATATATGTATATATATATATATATTTATATATATACTATATATATATATGTGTGTGTGAAAAAAGATAAATGAATATGAATATATATATATATATATATATATATATATATATATATATATATATGTATATATATATATATTTATGTATGTATGTAATATGGTTTAGGAAAGAATGTACGCCGATATAACAAGCAAGGATGGTAGGAATGATGTGAGAGGATATTCTCTTGAAATACGTAACAGCACAAGCGATGTAGTAACATTGTCAGTAGGGAACTGTTCCTACTTTCGACTTTTCTTATCGATAGCAGTCGAGTGTAGTCATTCAAGGTTATTTATACTTTTTGAGTAATTAATTAATTCAAGAAGGTTTCTCATTTGAAAGATTTATTTTTACTTGATGAAATTTGAAACTCCTTACACTATTTAATGGATATTTGAAGTCATTTATTTATTGGTTGCAAAGTTTGGATAACTTGTTCTAATAGCTATATATAAATGAATGAATAAAATAAATTATTCATATATATGCAAAATATTTCATAATATAATTTTTATCAAATTTGTAAATATGGATCTAATTTTTTTTTATTTTCAAAATTTTTCGATTTGACTGTCTGTGAAAAGTTTCGATGATTTTTGAAATAATAAAACAGTGGTCGGGGAAATGTACTACCCAGATGGATTGCCCGCGGGCTACTACGCCATGGGCCAGGAGGAATACATGGGCCAGGAAGACGAGTGGGAAAGACAGGGATTGCTGGATCCCGCTTGGGAAAGACAGCAAAAAAAGGTTCCTAAAAAATAAACTGTAATTTAGATTGTGGCCTGAAGAAAATTTAAGCTCTCACTTTAATTTATACATTTGTTTTTTAATTATTTTTCATAAATACTGACAATTGTTGTAACAAACAATCCACATTAAAAATTAATTCAAATACATTAAAAAATTCAACAGTTAAAACAAACTAGATTATTAGGCATCTGTTTATAATTCATAATTCGTTCATATTTACATAAGCACATATACAAGATAGCACACATAACCATTAATTGATTCAATGCTGGCGGCAACAATTTTAACAAAAATTTGGCAAAGTTAAAGAAATTTGAATGAATTAAAATAAGAATTGGTGAAAATGTTTATTTTTTTGAAATTGCAGAAAAGCACGATATGATAACATTGATAACCACATTTTATTTATTACTAACTTTTTTTTAATTTTATCACATAATTTGCAACAACTTATTTTTTTGCGTTTAGCTTAGGTACATTTTTTAATAACATTCTTTACTGTAATATTTTAACTTCAGAACAGTGTGAGATAAATAATTTTCGAATAAAATGATTTTAATTTAATTTAATTTGTAGTTTCAATTAGCACGTTCGTTAACGTAACATTATTCAATACTTGCACTAAATGTGTTATTTCATTCAGACATTTACCGCATGGTGCAATTCTCATTTGCGAAAAGCGGGAACACAGATTGAAAATATAGAAGAAGATTTTCAGAATGGTCTCAAGTTAATGCTCCTCTTGGAAGTCATTTCTGGTGAACAATTAGGCAAACCAGACAGGGGCAAAATGCGTATTCACAAATTATCCAATGTCAATAAAGCTCTCCAGTTTATTGAAAGCAAAGGAGTTCATCTTGTCTCTATTGGAGCTGAAGGTGAATTGAATTTAAAATTGTTTTTATTATCTGCGTTTCAGTTAATTAAAATAGGTTAATATCTTATAAAAAAAACTAGAAATTGTTGACGGCAATTTGAAAATGACTCTGGGCATGATATGGACAATCATCCTGCGTTTTGCTATCCAGGACATTTCTGTGGAAGGTTTGGTTTTAGCTGCCATTAACAGTAACAGCATTGTTTCAATAATAACAAAATAAATTTGAAATAGAAATGACAGCTAAGGAAGGGTTGTTGTTGTGGTGTCAAAGAAAAACTGCACCTTACAAAAATGTCAATGTCCAAAATTTCCATCTAAGGTTAACGTTAAAATTATATCTTTTTGTTACGGTTAAAATTTTTTTTTGTTTGTAAACTTAAACTGAAATAAAATTACTCAAATAAATTGTTTAACGCTAAGCATTTGATTAAAGCTTCAAAGATGGCTTGGCATTTTGCGCTCTCATCCACCGTCATCGACCAGAACTTCTTGACTATGGAAAACTCTCGAAAGTGTGTAGTGACATTTATCGACAACTTATACCTTTTTTAAATTGATTAATAATTGTGTTTAAAGGTATCAAACATTATTTTCACAGGATAATCCACTGCAAAATCTAAATTTGGCGTTTGATGTTGCCGAAAAATATTTAGATATACCAAAGATGTTGGATGCAGATGGTGGGTTGAATGCTTATCCTGTGTAACTGACATCCTCATATATTAAGCAAACAATCTAATCATTGTTCTTAATAGATATGGTAAGTTCAGCGAAACCAGATGAAAGATCAGTGATGACGTACGTTTCAGCTTACTACCACGCATTTGCTGGCGCTCAAAAAGTTCTGGAAATTTTCAATTTCATTTTATATTTTAAACATTGAAACATTTTTTTAAATAGAGCAAATTGAAATATTTTATCATTCGTACCTAGAATTTTTTAATATAATTTTCTTTGAAATAAATAGGCTGAGACTGCAGCCAACAGAATTTGTAAGGTGCTGAAGGTTAACCAAGAAAATGAAAGGCTAATGGAGGAATACGAAAGATTAGCTAGTGATGTAAGTAACAAGTGCAAAATAATAATAATAACAATAACAAATATAATAATAATTATAATATTTTTACATGAAACAGCTTTTGGCTTGGATTAGAAAAACTCGACCTTGGTTAGAAAACCGTCACACAGACAACACCATACCTGGTACAAGACGCAAATTGGCAGAGTTTCGAGATTACAGCAGAGCTCACAAGCCTCCGAGGGTGGATCAAAAAGCCAAACTGGAATCCACGTTTAACACGCTACAAACAAGATTGAGATTAAGCAACAGACCTGCTTATATGCCTACCGAAGGAAAAATGGTTTCGGTTAGTTGTTCGTGCTTTCTATTCAACAATATTTTCAAAGGTTATCACCACTTAGACTTAAACATATTTTAAAGAATCAAATAAAAGTTTAATGCAATCCATATTAAAACAATGAATAACTTACACACCTACTAGGATATAGCAACGGCGTGGATTGGTCTTGAAAGTGCGGAGAAGGGTTTTGAAGATTGGCTGTTGAAAGAATTGCAGAGGTTACAAGGAGAAAAAGATTAAAAAATTAAATAATTCTGTTTAATAAAATCTATCTTAGTTAAAAGTATGTTTATATTTGGGAATAAATGAATTGTAAAAGGCTCGAACGTTTGGAGCATTTGGCTCGTAAGTTCAAACAGAAGTGTGACATTCACGAAGAATGGTCTCTAGGCAAAGAAGATTTACTGCAGGCACAAGATTTCAAAAAGTGCAGACTCAGCGATCTTAAGGTTATTTACTTTACTTAGTAATTAATATTTGTTTGTGTATCGAATGCATGGACATCAAAATAAGTATTACTATCTTTTAGGATAAAGTACGATTGTACAGATGTCCGTCATCTCATGTAACGAATTATTTAATTTAGCAACCGCTTTAGAACCATCGCTCTTTATTGTGAGCGTGTTGTTCAATCAAATTTTGAAGTTTCTTCTGTTAGATATGGTATTTTCTGTTAAAAAGTATTTCTTCAACTATCAAAGTAAAAAAATAATTCTTTCATGCTAATGAATATTAAGCTAAACCTTATTTAATATTGTCACTCGTGTTTTCTCGTAAACTCATTTTTTTTAGTTTAATGAAAAAGCAAATTATTTTTTAAACATCTAGTAAACGAATATGTACTGAATCGATTAGTTAACAATATTGACTATGTTTATAACAAAATTTCATTTATATTTATAGTTATGTTATTATCATTTTTGTGATGAGAAGAACATTTCAAGTCAATAATCTTTGTACATTAAAGCGTTAATTTAAATGATGAAAAAGAAGCAACTTAATGCACTTAACATTTGCTGCTTGGTTGTGCAGGCATTGAAACAACGACATGTTGCTTTCGAGAGCGACCTGGCCAGCCATCAGGAACGTGTTGAACAAATTGCTGCCATCGCCCAAGAGTTGAAGTGAGATCCTTTCATTCATGCATGTTCAGTCCATATAAGTCTTGTAACCATAACCATACATTAAGAATTTTTTAGTTGCGTGTTTTATTTAATTTCATTTGTAAATGTACATCTAAATGTTGATACGTATTTTGCAAGCAACGAGAAATATGCGAGAAGGAAAAACTGTCAAAGCAAAAACAAAATCAGCCACTATACGTGAAATTTCACCATACTATTCGTTCATATCAGTCAACAAATTTTTAAGAAGTCTAAAAACTAAAAAATGGAAAATTAGCTTCGAATGAAATTTGTAAAAATAACTAAAAAAAAGAAAAAATTCATTCTACAGTCAACTTGGCTACCATGATGTTAAGTCTGTGAACATCAGATGCCAGAAGATTTGCGACCAGTGGGATGTGATGGGATCACTCAGCCAGCAAAGAAGAAACGCCCTTGACGTATTTATATATTTTTGTATATTTGTTTGGTTTGTATATTATATATTGACGTATTTTATATTTTTAATGTTTATAGACCTAGCTAGCCTTTAAATTGATTGATTGCATTCCATTTATTTATGGCACTACCTCCTTAGTGTATCACGTTAGTATTCATGAGTCACGTGGTTTTCTGTTAAACCATATGATGAATGAATTAAAAACACGTTTATAAAAATAATACGAAGCCAAAAAAAAGTCATAACGATTTATTTGAATATATGAATAAATAAATAAATATATAAATATATATTATATATATATATATATATATATTTATTTATATTTACAATATTCTATAAATTCTACCGAATGTTTGGCGTTAATATGTTTGTAGTTCGTTTTTTCGATTTTTCTCACTAAAGTTTTTTAGTGAACGTTTAGTTTTTA